CTTGCCCATAGAGAATCACTGGAGAACACTTGCCCATAGGGAAAATAGGGGAATACTTGTCCATAGAGAATCACTGGAGAACACTTGCCCATAGGGATCGTTCCCAGGATTCCATAGCATGACACCATGGCAGTTAAAGCGATGTCAAACTGGATTATTTCTTCAGTGAGGATGCAGCTCCAATGCCCTAGTCCAACTCCCAAACAATTACACCACAATTGCATAGTCCAACAACCAAAACGTTACACCTCACAGTCACCAACCCCCTTTCCTCTCTTCCCTACCTGCTCTATAAAATAATTCAAGCCAAAGAGTAAATGACTTTTCCTCAACCTCAGTATCTCTTTGCCTCCTTTGGCCTCTGCAATTGAGGAATGGATGCACTTCAACTCCACCCTTCCCATATCAGTCCTGAATCCTGGTGTAGGAACACATAGTCACGGGTCCAAAACACACTATAAAAATAATCCAGTTTGAGACTGCTTTAATTGCCCTGGCTCAATGCTAGGGAATCCTGGGAATTGTAGTTCATTGTGGCACCAGAGCTCTAAAAGAGGCGGCCAAATGTCACACAAAACTACACTTCCCAGGTTTCCCCTTGCACTCAGCCAGGGCAGTTAAAGCGGTCTCAAACTAGATTATTTCTTCATTGTGTTTTGGATCTTAAGGGCATATTGATGTATTTCATGTGGCTCTTGATTTAATTTTATATGGGCAGGCAAAAAGAGAGAGAAGAGGAGGAAGAAGAAGAGAATTAATTAATCTTGTAGTTCTATAAACTCAAATTACTTTTGGCTTTGGTCCCAATTACATTGTGTCTGCTTCTGCCCACCATCAACTGTGGCTCTATTTTTTGTCCCTGGGAGAGTATATAACCCTTCACAGAAAAAAAGTTTGCTAATGTAGTGTAATGTAGTCATAAAAAATGAGATGCTATCTTAGTGCAAGACATTTACTATGGCAGATGTGCAGGGTGAATAACAATACATACTAAGTCCTTTAATATGCCTCCTGGTTTATGTAAATGTGGAATATTTGTGTGTGTGTAACTTATAGTCAGTTATGTTTACAATATATTGAGACACTTGGCTACTGTTTTGCTATAAAATAATTGTATATATCAACATTGTCCTATTTAGAAATATTTAGTCAAGGAGCAGTGGGGCCATGGGTCTTATGCAGTCCATACTGTTGCTCTAGTACAGTGATTCCCAAACTTTGGTCCTCCAGGTGTTTTGATCTTCAGCTCCTAGAAGCACCAGCCAGTTCGGCCAACAGTCAGGAATTCCTGGAGCTGAAGTCCAAAACCTCTGCAGGACTGAAGTTTGAGAACCACTGCTCTTGTATCTCTGGTTATTCTTCCTGCTCTAGACTGTCCAAGGATCCTACTCGCTTCTCCAAGCTAATGGGGGAACCTGGGATTGTCCTTGCTTGATTGGGAGCAGGGCAGTCAATATAAATTACTGAAGTCTGGCAGTCCAAATCATAGCTGGGGCTGTTACATCACCTTCAAGAGGCTAATGCAGTGGTACTCAGACTTTTTACCTTTGAGCCCTCCTTTTACATGTACATGTGGATGCCCACATCCACACTCATGTATCTTTATATCTTAATATTTCTTAAGTAAATAATTGTTCAAATTAGAATGGTTTTATTTAAGTAAATCAATATTTAATTCTGTTTATGTGTAAATTTTACACAAAAAAAGTTTCGGAAGAGGAAGGGGAGGAAGGATCAGGGCCTCCAAGTTTTGCATGCCCCCTTGAGCAACTTTCATACACCT